AGGCACCTAAAATAGCTCTTCTAAAGTTTATGATGTTTTCATTTGTTATGATGTCTTTCATTTGTTCCTACTCTCCTCTCAGATTCATAAAATTGAGTTTGTGTTGTACTTCTGAAATGAGTATATACATACTAATCAAGTATCAGAGTGGTGAAAACATCTTGTTTAAAACCCTGTTTACCTTGGGGGGAAAAGGCCAATGGCCATTTCTTCTATCTTTTTTTTATTTCTAGGGAAACAAGGGAAACTCCCTACACATCACTTCTAAGGCTCCGTATTATGATAGGGAACTTGTAGTTTTGTTAATTCAGTAGGCATTTTAAGAGTGAGTATTTTGGACTGGTAGTGAGAGCTGGGGAGGGGTATACAAAGTGGGGCAAGGGCATAATCCCTGGCCCTAAAGAGGTTACAATGCAAATGGAGGAGCCTAGGCTCGGAACTTGGAACAAAAGCAGTGGCTGCATAATAATGTGCTGTTGGGATGGGGGATGGGAATTAGAAGCCTGGTTACTAGGAAAGCAGTTTCCTTGAGGTGAGAGTTTAGGCCAGCCTTGAAAAGAGGCTGATTTGTAATGATTGTGGAAGTGAAATCTAGGAGACTTTCTGCTTAGAAGATAACCATCTTTCCTGATTTAAAGGTGGGAAGTGTCTGAAGTGTGGGAGACTAAAAAGGAACTAGCCTATTAGTGGTCCAAACTCAACTTGGGAAGCTGATTTTTGAGGCTATAAGAGGTAAGTGTGGGCACATGGGCTGGTGATGGTGGGAAGGGAAAGAGGCATTTTTATTGTTGTTACGGTAAAACTTAGATATCTGATAAGATGGGTCAAAAACAAAAGGAAACTTAAAGGAGAAAGATTCTGAGATGGCAATGTACAAATGAGATGGCAACAGAAAGGTCTTGGGCCACAGTAAACAAGCGAGAGCAATTTAGATCTTGTTAGAGGAAGATCAAAAGCAAACCGATGGCGAAGAAATTTCATTATTAATTAATAATTTAAAAGAAAATCTATTGCCAACACGACTAATAATTTCTTACCTTAGCCTTTGCCCTCCCCTCTTTGAATACCTGTCCTTAGCTTGTAATTAAGACATTTTATTAAGGATATTCCATTCACCCCCACCTATTCCTAATTCAGCTTGCTTTTCTTTCATTTTCTTCCCATGATGCTTTTAGTCCTTAAAGACCAAACTAACTACCACGCCACATTTTCTTTGCAGCCATTGGAAATTTTCCTTACTCTGAACTCCTGTTAACTAGTCAATTTCACCATGGGGCAACTTATTTTCTGATTGGAATGCTCAATCACTGGGTTTCACTCTAACTCTTCAAGACAGTTTTTATTTTTAAGGATGCTTATTGTAGGAAACTTAAAAAAAACCTAAAAGTCACTTGTAGTCTTATTACTGTTGTTAAAGTTTTGTATCCCTTCCAAGGGCTGTTTAATGTGTAAATAAAACTTAAAATTCATAATACAAAATTGATACCGTTTATACAGTTATGTAACTTTTGCAGTGCTCAATATTGAACCAGCCCTAGCCCTTGCACATGCTTGGCACATGCTCTACAATGGAGCTAAATCCCCACTCTAATACAGTTGAGTGTCCTAGAATACTAGCAGCTTTACTCAATCATATTAAGATGATGGATGAAGCTGTTTTTTGGGTAATCCTTGTTCTCTGGCATCTTTTCTTCTCCCTTTTTGTCATGAGGCTTGAATTCAGGGCCTAGGTGCTGTCCCTGAGCTTTTGTGTTCAAGGCTAGCTCCACTGCCAGTTTTCCAGTGAATAATTGAAGGTAAGAGTTTCCCGGACTTTCTTACCCAGGCTGCCTTCAAACCAAGATCCTGAGATCTCAGCCTCCTGAGTAGCTAAGACTACAGGCAAGAGCCACCAATGCCCAGCTTCAATGTATTTTTAAGTTATTATTCAATCCACCTCAATTGCTCATTCACCTTCCTCCATAGTTTGGGCAGAGGTTTAACAACCTTTCCATAGTTTATTTGTCATTAGGCCAGGTGTCTACCTCAGTCCAATACACTGTTGCAAAAGGAAGGATTATGTAGCTCATAATGAAGAACCTCTTGGAAGAATGGAAGCAAAAGTTGGTCTGGCCTATCTATCCTTCAGCTATTGTTTTCTGAGATGATAAATATATATTCTGTCATGAATATAACCCATTTTCTTAACCATTCCTATAGTGCTAAAGGAATAGGTTCTGATTTTCACTATCTTAAATAACATCAAAAACCTAAGTTATCTAAGTTTCAGGTATTATCTCTTGTATTTCTACTAATAGGATCTCCCTCCACCTCCCCAGTGCTAAGGTTTCAACCCAGGACTTTGTGCATGCTACAAAACAGCTCTAGTACTGGCTTGCAACTGGTCTTGATACAATTAGCCTTTCAAAGTGAACTTGTAGCATTATAAAAGGAGAATAAGAGGATGACTTGTCATTTTTCCTTTCAATGAACTACAGAGGAAAAAAATGCGAGAAATACTTAAATTTGACAAAAATTTCCTTTTGAGAGAGTTCTTCAAGGCTGAGAATGTAGTTCAGTAGTAGAGTACTTACATGAGACCTGTGTTAGGGTGGCAGGTGGTTGGGTGATTGGGTTGGGTAATGCTTCCAGTGCATTTTAGATGTCCACATGGTGGTTTAGATGATAACAGTACTTTATGCCTTTGTAGTGGAAGGAAGGCACTAGAACAAATTAAACTAAAATATATAGGAAAAAATAGGGGTAGCTGGGTGCTGCTGGTGGCTCACGCCTGTAATCCTAGCTACTCTGGAGGCTGAGATCTTTTTTTTGGGGGGGAGGGTCTGGTCGTGGGGCCTAAACTCTGGGCCTGGGCGCTGTCCCTTGGCTCTTCAGCTCAAGGCTAGCGCTCTACCACTTGAGCCACAGCGACACTTCCAGCTTTTTTTTCTTTTTGCTTATGTGGTACTGAGGAATCGAACCCAGGGCCTCATGCATGCAAGGCAAGTGCTCTACCACTGAGCCACCTTCCCAGGCCCGAGGCTGAGATCTGAGGATTGTGTTCAAACCCAGCAAGAGTGGGAAAAGTCTGTGAGACACTAATCTCCAATAAACCATTCAGAAAACCAGAAGTGGCACTATGGCCCAAGTGGCAGAGCCTTTGTCTTGAGCTGAATTGCTGAGGGACAGTGCCCAGGCCCAGAGATCGAGCCCCATGACCGACAGAAAAAAGAAAAAGAAAAAAAGGGGTTTAAATTACTTCTTTCATGTTTATTTGCATAACTAAGTGTGTGTGTGTGTGTGTGTGTGTGTCTGTGTGTCTGTGTGTCTGTGTGTGTATGTGTGTGTGTTGGTCCTGGGGCTTGAACTCAGAACCTAGGTACTATCCTTGAGCTGCTTTTGCTCAAGGCTAGCACTCTACCAGTTTGAGCCTCAGCCCCATTTCCAACTTTTTAATAGTTTATTGGAGATAAGAACCTCATGCACTGCTTTTATGTATAAACTGGGTATTTTTTTCAAATATGAATTATGTTACTAGTTTTATTTTTACTTTTGCCAGTCCTGGGGCTTGAATTAAGGGCCTGGGCACTGTCCCTGAGCTTTGGCTCAAGGCTAGCACTCTACCATTTGAGCCACAGCACTACTTCCATCTTTATCTGTGTATGTGGTACTGAGGAATCGAACCCAGGACTTCATGCATACTAGGCAAGCACTCTACCACTAAGCCACATTCCCAGCCCTATTCCACTTCAAAAAATAAAATGTGCCCGTTCATGGGCTTGAACTCAGGGCCTAGGTGATTTTGGCGATTATCAGTCTCATGGACTTTCCTGCCCAGGCTGGTTTCCAAATCTCAGCCTGCGGAGTGTGAGCCACCAGTGCCCTGCTTGCTATGCCACATTTTAACTGGCCATTTCTCTTGACGAAAAAGTATTTGAAGAGATCAAATGACGCTATCTTGCTTTTATTAAGTCTTCATTTGATCTCTTCAAATACCATTGGTCATTATTTTCCATCTCATACTACTTTTAAGATGCTCTCTTGAATATAACCGTTGATTTAAAGATGATGAACTCTCAGTTCGGTTTTAGGACCACGTTGCAGGTTGGTCAGAGGTATAACTAGCTCAGAACTGAGCAAAAGGCCAGAGCTGTATAACTCTGAATGCATTTCCTTTTTATGTACCTGCAGGCCCCACTCCATCCCCCCCCCCACACACACACCTGTTTCCACCTTTGCAGGGTGCGCTTCTTTACTTTAAACTGGGACTTGGCAATTCGGGGGGACTTTGGACAGGCCTTAAATCTTACTTCTCAGGAGAAGCCCAAGTCAGAGCAGGCACAGGCAGCGGCTCCCGAGGGAGGGAGTTTTCTGGAAGCGTTTCTGTGCCTCCAGCGAACTTGGGCAGATTTGACCACCACCGAACTGGCGTGCGTCACGGCTGGAACCAGTCCAGCGTGTGTTGTGAGAGAAATTCTAGAAATAGCGAAGCGCGAGGAATTGCTTTGCATCCTAACCGGTAAGAAACCTTGAATGCATTTACCTGTCCCGGGTGAGGAGGCCCCCGGGAAGAAGGCCTTTGCCGGCACGCGGAGCACGTGCCGGGCGTGGGGGAGAGGCCGGTGGCCCGCGCTCCTTCAGGTTAGAAGCGACGAGGGGGCGTGGTCGCCAGAGCGTGGCCTCCGGAGGGGCGGGGCCGCGTACGTCACCGCTGACGTACCGCTGGAGCGGGCGGCTGCGGTCCCCCAAGTGTGGGACCCCGGGGGGGGGGTCTGGAGTTATCGCTGACATGGCTGCCCCGGCTCGGGGTGGTGAGTGCGTGAGGGTCGCGCGGCTACGGCGGTTGGCGGAGCGAGGCTCCCTGTGGGAGCAGACGTGCGACGGGAGCTCCCGGGCCCGGAGACACCTGGCGGAGTTTTCCCGCCGCGCAGGGCGCAGGGCGCTGGGCGCTGGGCGCAGGGGGGGTCCTGAGGGAGGGAGAGGGGGCTGCGGACGGACGGAGGGGCCGAGACGAGGGGGCGCGCGAGGCGGCGGCGGCGGCGGATCCGGATCCGGAGAATTCAGAATTGGCGCCTCTGGGAAGTTTCGGTGGGTCATGTGATGCCCGGGCCAGTGGGGGTCACGAATTTGGTGGTCACGAATGCCCGGAGATGCTCCCAAGGAGCGGTGTTCCCTAGGGCCTGGGACCCTGGCCTGGACGGGGAAAGACACTGGGGCTTGCAGGGTGCGCGGCCAGGATCTGTGCCCGGCGACTGCGGGTGGGATGCAGGCTGGGGCGCTGGGATGCTCGGCGCCCGCAGCGCCCTCCGCACTCGGCGGTGGGACCGGCTCAGACATTCCCTGCGGGGCTTTGGGGGGGGGGGGGAGGGGGGAGCCTCTAGGGCTGGGTCTGGATGGAGGTGCTTCTCCCACTCCCTGCCTTCCCTCCCGCGCTGCCACTTAAAGACGTCTATTCGCCAGTTCCGTTGTTGTTGGGTTTTGCCGAATGGTTCACACCTGTCATCCTTCCTTCTCTTTGAAAAGGCTGGCATCTGAGGTTCCCAGTTCGAAGCCAGTCCAGGCAGTCTTTGAGATTTTTTTTATCTCCTTATAACCACAGAAAGCCGGGGGTGGGGGGAAACTGTGGATCAAATGATAGAGCGCCAGCCATGAACGGAGGGGGGGGGGAAGAATGTAGGGACAGCGCTCCTAAGCTGTGAGTTCAAACGCCAGTAGCTCCGTCCCCCACCCCCCCCCATCCCTACACAAAAAGACACTTGCTCTCTTGGAGCTTTCGAATACCTGCTTCCAAATAAACCATTTCTGCTGTCCTTGGAGGGGAAAGAATTGCTAATAGACCTAACTTTTTTAAGGGAAGATACATGGATGAAGATGGACAAGTGACTGCTGGAGCTTAAAAAAGGTAGTATAGATACACACACCCCTCTCCCCTCATACTGCCTTTTAAAAGATAGTGAAGGGCTGGGGATGTGGCTTAGTGGTATAGGGCTTGCCCTAGGATGCATGAAGCCCTAGGTTCGATCCCTCAGCACCACATACACAGAAAAAGCCAGAAGTGGCTCTTTGGCTCAAGTGGTAGAGTGCTAGCCTTGAGCAAAAGAAGCTCAGGGACAGTGCCCAGGCCCTGAGTTCAAGCCCCAAAACTGGCCAAAAAAAAAAAGTTTCAAGGTCAAATTTGAAGTGATGTAAATTCTACTAGTAACTGGGTCATTCCTAGTCCTTTTGAAACTGGAAGTAAAACAGCTTGGTAACTTGGAAGATTGTATTTTCCAAAAACTTCCTCCCTGTTTTAAACATTATCAAACTGCTGAGCTGTGAAATGCACAAGGAAATACAATCTAAAGTCCTGCACTACTTGTATTCCTGATCTGTTAAGGTTTTGCAGGGTGGAAGTGGGGATGAGAACACGTAATCTTCAAAATCAGCGTCTGGTGCAAACAAGGAAAAAGCTATATGATTTTGCTGGCATCAGCTTTGCCTCCAAACGTGTTAATGTTCCCAATCTCCATCAGATTCAGTATTTATCCAAAAGAGGTGAAACTTTGTATTTTTGGAACCTTAATCGTTTTGTCCTTAATTTAGCACATCGGGAAATTTGAAAGCGATTTTAAACATTTTGGTATGAAATTCTTTCCATTTTTTTCTGTAGAGTTTTGTGTTTATGCAGTAAATATCTAACTTTTTTCAATCAAGTACTTATTACTGCAGACTCTCAAAATGGAAATTGAGACATTCTGATACTACACAAGTAGTTATTATGTAGCTTAGAAAGTTAAAATGTATCTCCCTAATTCTCTTTCCTCTTTTTTTTTTAAGCAATACAGTTTTCTCTTCGGACTAAAAGAATAAAATATAGATACTTACATACAACCAAACTTGCCCGCCACACTTACATTACTATTTTGGGTTGTCGTATTGCAGAGAATGTTCTGCTACTTGGATTGTCTGAGGGCAGAGTATCCCTAGCACCAGCACCACATTAGCTGTTTTAAAGTGAAGGAAAATTCCCTGCAAAGGTTTAAGAATGTTTATTGAATTTGGTTTTGGAATGGAAGAAGCACAGAGAAAGGCATCCTGGCTTTTTTTCTAACAGAAAAAGATGTTTCCCTACAGAATTAGGCAGAACAAACATGGTGCTAGATTCAAATGCAGCTACATGATGAAGATGAGAGAGGCTGGACATAGGCTCAGTAGTCTAATGAAAATAGGAAGTGAATCTTCCAATCATCCTGACTTAAGAATGAGGGATAGGTTTGCCATAAAATAGGAAGATTCTACAAAGGTTGGCTTTGGGGCAAAGAAAAAAGATCATTATAAAAACAAACTAAATTCTCAGCATTTCTGGACATCATAAAAACTTAAGAATTAACTTTTTCAGAAAAATGCTGACAAGGATATTCTTGGTAGACTAATTCAGGAATGTACTATGATGAATAAAAAGTGAAGATGCTTTATACACAGAAGCACTTAAACTCAATTTACTGTATTTTGTGGCTTTAAAAAATGTTTTCCCCATTGTTATAAAGTTATAGCTGAAGGGCTGGGAAGGTGGCTCAGTGGTAGAGCGCTTGCATGAGGCCCTGGGTTCGATTCCTCAGGACCACATAAGCAAAAAAATAAAAAAAAAAGCCAGAAGTGGTGCTGTGGCTCAAGTGTAGAGCACTAGCCCTGAGCTGAAGAGCTGAGGGATAGTGCCCAGACCCAGAGTTCAGGCCCCACGACTGGACCTCAAAAAAAAAAAAGTTATAGCTGCAGTAGTTAGATGTATATTTGTTGGTGTGATGCTGATAATATTGCCCACACATTATAGTCTTATAAGTAGGGATGGAAATTCAAATAACCTGGAGACAGACCTTAGTCTCAACTTTATCTTCAAACATCTTCAACTAGATTCAGTCTGTAGAAGAAGCATGTTAGAGACATAAGGAAGGTTTCAGGAGAAAAAGTTGATCTTCTGTTGTTTAATGAGATTTAATCAAGATCTGGGTAATTACACATTGTGTTTCTAACTGAAGGAAGAATAGCCACCGAGGCATTTTGGGATAAAGGAAAGGAAACACTTCATGATTGACATGGAAGAGTGCCAGAGTACATAATAGACATAATAGCTTTCTTAAGAATTTGAAAACCCATTGTGTTCATTTCCTTCAGTAATTTGCTCATTCAAAAATATTGAACCCCATTCTACATACCAAGCACCACGCTGACCCTTGACATTTTGTCTAGGACAGGAAACTGGTATTTCCATGAAATAAATGGAAAATTAGAAACTAATTATAAGAAGAGGGTAGGGTTTATGGATAAAGCTATTTGCATTCTTATCCAAATAGATGAAGCAAGTAGTTTACAATTGCTAAACTGTCTCACACTGAAATTACCATTTTATCCTATATTTTATGATTGAAAAGGACAAATCTTCCATCTTGTAATAGTGTTCAGAGGATTTGTTTACATTGCTGCTACTATAAGAAAGAATAGATATTGTCTCTATTTAAATAGAAATTCAACATATTATCTGCATTAATAAAAGCATCCCTCTGGAAGGTCTTGAAGTTTTTTGCTTTGTTTTTTGTTATTTATTTATTTTTGTCGATCCTGGGACTTGAAGTCTGGGCCTGAGCAGTGTCCCTCAGCTCTTCAGCTCAAGGCTAGTGCTCTACCACTTAAGCCACAGTACCACTTTCTGTTTTCTGAGTGGTTTATTGGAGATAAGAATCTCACAGACTTTCCTGCCCAGGCTGGCTTTGAACTGCAGTCCTCAGATCTCAGCTTCCTGAATAGCTAGGATTACAGGCTTGAGCCACCTGTGCCCAGCTGTTTTTTTGCTTTAGAATCCAGACTAACTTAACTAACTTCCAACTTAAGATCCTCTTGCCTTAGCCTCTCAAATGCTGTAATTACAGGCTTGTAGCACCATGACCAGCTTTCAGAATTTTCTTCAGTGACATAAAGATTACTATGACACAATTTTATATTTTATGTACAGTTTTTTTTTAGTCCTGGGGCTTGAACTCAGGGCCCAGAGTTTAAGTTCCATGACGGACTATAATAATAATAATAATAAAATAGTTCAAACCAGGTACCAGTGGCTCATCCTGTAAGTCTAGCTACTCAAGTGGCTGAGATCTGAGGATCACTGTTTAAAGCAAATCTGAACAGGAAAGTCCATGAGATTCTTGTCTCCAGTTAACCACCAAAAAGCTGGAAATGCAGCTGTGGCTTAAAGTGCTAAGAACACTAGTCTTAAACACAAAAGCTTAAGGACAGTACCCAGGCCCTGAGTTCTAGCCCCAGGACTGGCATAAAAACAAAAATACTAGTTTATCTCTCAGTTACAAAAAAAAAATTCAAAATGTGTTTGTTTAATAACAAAAGATATGTGGGAAGGGACTAATCAGTTGAGAGTAGAAAATTGTGCCATAATTTGAAAGTTTTAAATTTGTTCTTGTATTCAAGATTGTAAATAGCTTTCTAATAATGGTAAAATTCTGCCTGTAAGACATTAAAAATTAATACAAAATGCTGCATGGTATATGATGATGTGACAGTCAGTATGAGCTATGAGAGAAGTTCTTGATGCCACACCTTCACTCTCAGCTTTTTAGTGGTGAATTGGATATAAGTTGCTCAGGGACTTTATTTAATGCCCAGGCTGGCTTTGAACTGCAATCCTTAGATCTCAACCTTCTGAGTATTTAGGATTATAGATGTGGGCCACCATTATCCTTTTTGAAATATATCTAATAGACTCATAATCAATTATAGCCTGTTGAAAGTTGAAGGACCTTGCTGTCATCCAATAGATTTTTTTTGTTACAGCTGCAATGAACAAAGGAAACTTGTAGACTATATTTGTAGAATGGAGAAAGTTGTACGGTAGCTTCTTCACTATCTTTCTGATTGGTTTTTATTTAAAATGTATACAATTAATGTGTTTGTTACTTTTAGAAGTTTTAAATTTTGGATTAATAGAAAATATTTTATAGTTCTGTTACCTTAGGATAAATACAGTCTTTCTAGTAATTTTCTGAAACAGCAATGATTAATTGCTGTTTCCTTTTTTGTCCAAGTCCAGGACTTAAATTCTGTACCTGATGCTTTTGTTCATTGCCTATGCTTTCCAATGCCAAATCCTGAAAGTTCTAATAAAATATTTTTATTGTGAAAAAACCATACAGAGGGGTTAAAATTACATGAGCAAGGTAATGAGTACATTTCTTATCAAGCATTGTTGCCTCCTCCTTTGTTTCCCCTTACCATTCCTTCCCATCTCCCTCTCCCCGGCTCCCCCTAATAAAATATTTTATTTGCCCAGAGTTTAAACCACAGAAAATTTTAAGGGACAAGAAGTAAATTTAACATGTGCACTTGAGATGTGTATGCGTGTGAGGGTGGGGACTGGACCACTTTAAGTCCCTAGGATACCTGATGTCTAAAAGGCAGGCTTATAACTTGGCAGATTTTAAAAAGCAACCTTATCTTTGCAGCTTTCCTGAGGTTTGAAGATGGTACCTGCAAGTACCACTGAAATTCATGCTGTCTTATTACCCTAAAAATCTAAAGCATTGGGCATGGTTCATATGGTCTCAGTGTTCTTGTAATTAGGCCTTCACCTGTAGCCTAAAATTTGTATTCAATTTATGTTAAATTAATGAAAAATGTTTTTAATAGATCACTGGTCTTCTTCCTTCTTCTTCTTCCTTCCTCTTCCTTCTTCTTCCTTCTTCTTCTTCTTCTTCTTCTTCTTCTTCTTCTTCTTCTTCTTCTTCTTCTTCTTCTTCTTCTTCTTCTTCTTCTTCTTCCTTCTTCTTCTTCT